TTGAATCATGATAATAACAAAACTGCTTTAATTTTTTTAATGTTTTAACCAAATTTTCTAACTTACATAAATGTTATATGTTATGTTAACTAATGGTTTTTGAAATTTCTTAATTTTCTTTGCATTTTCTGTTTTTACTTATTAAACTGATTGATCTTGTTTAGTATTATAATTTTATTGATTGTAACATTATAGATATAACTTTTTTGGGTCTTAAACTTTAAAATTCATATGAATAAGGTTGTGACTCATAAAAATTCGTCACAACAGAGTAGCATTTTGCGACTATCCGAAGGAAAAGTTACAAATAAGTCACTAAATGCCCACATATATGCGACTTATTTGTGACTGACACCTGAGATTGAGACGATTTTGCTACCTTTGAGCAACCTTCGCGATCTTATTAAAATATTTATCAATAGAAAATTGTTAATATGTTAAGTTTCAAGGTTCTACATTGATTTTAACTACTATAGATATTGGTTCATTATACTACCAAACAAACTTAAAGTTTTCAATGTTTTAAACAAAATTCCTAAACTTACTAAGGGTTATATGTGATGTTAACTTATGGTTTTGAAATTTCTTAATTTTCTTTGCATTTCTGTTTTTACTTATTAAACTGATTGATCTTGTTTAGTATTATAATTTTATTGATCGTAACATTATAGATATAACTTTTTTGGGTCTTAAACTTTGAAATTCATATGAATAAGGTTGTGACTCATAAAAATTCGTCACAACAGAGTAGCATTTTGCGACTATCCGAAGGAAAAGTTACAAATAAGTCACTAAATACCCACATATATGCGACTTATTTGTGACTGACACCTGAGATTGAGACGATTTTGCTACTTTTTAGCAACCCTCGCGATTTTATTAAAATATTTATCAATAGAAAATTGTTAATATGTTAAGTTTCAAGGTTTCTACATTGATTTTAACTACTATAGATATTGATTCATTACAATACCAAACAAACTTAAAGTTTTCAATGTTTTAAACAAAATTCCTAAACTTACATAAGGGTTATATGTGATGTTAACTTATGGTTTTGAAATTTCTTAATTTTCTTTTGCATTTCATGTTTTTTCTCATTAAACTAATTGATATTGTTTAGTATTATAATTTAAGTGATTATACATAGATTTTGTTTGGTTATTAAGCTTTAAATTCATATGAATTCATATGAATATAGTTGTGACTCATAAAAATTAGTCACAAAAGAGTTACAATTCTGGACTACTTTGATAAAACGACAAGAGTTACACTTCTCATTTCTCATTGGGTGATCTTAAATGACAAGGATTGCCTTTTGGGAAATCGAGAGTTTGTTATGTGTTTTAATTATTTCTTCGGCAGATCTAACGAATTTGTTATATGTATTTTAGGTTTCATTGGTAGATCTGAAGTATCTGAAGAACTAGAGTCAACGGAGTCGTCGGAGATCGTGGTGGTAGTTTAGGACCATTGTTGAAGACGACGTTCACCACCACCACCACATCTGGAGGCCTCCGCCAGTTCACCCCCAACACATGTGAACTCTAACCCCCCAATCGCATTTCAGATTCTCCGGCCGCCGCCTTGGCTTTGTTTTCCGACTCCTACCGTCGCCAGCCCACCGTCAATTTTGTATAAAACTATAGATATATATGTTATTGTATTTGTCTGTATGTAATGTATTTAAAAAATAAATAAAATTATATTTATTTCATTTTGTTTAATTTTGTATAGTAAAATTAATTTTTTTTTTAAAAAAATTTTTGTTGTAGTTTGTCACTAAAAGGTTGCTAATATAGGACTTTAGTTACAGTCACTGTTTAGTCTCTAATATATGACTATTAATATTCGTCACTAAACAATCACTTATATACGACCACATAAATTAGTCTTAAAGGCGTCACAAATATGCGACGTTATTGCGACCGTTTTTTAGCGACCAACTTGGATAGTCTCACAATAGTTGCAAATAACGATTTTACGACCGTTTTAGGACTCTTTTGGGAGTCACAAAAAGCATGTTTTCTTGTAGTCTTGATTTTGGGGAGAGAAATAAAGACAGGGATATCATTTTTGAGGAAGAATCGATTCCGGTTAATATATCGATTCCTATAGTTGCTTTGGATAAAGCAAATTTGGACTCTCAAGTTGATAACGAAATTCTTCCTCCAACTCAGAATGTTGATGATATCGGACATGACGTTCAAATTCAAAATCCTCAAGAACTAGTGCATCAAGATCAAGTTGCTTTAAGGCGATCCACTAGAGTAAGGAAAAATGCTATTCCAGATGATTATATAGTATTTCTAATGGAACATGAGGATAATCAAACTCTTACCGAAGATGATCCTATCAACTTCCTTCAGGCTATAAGTTGTTCCGTCTCACATAAGTGGATCGAAGCAGCAGAAGAAGAGTATAAGTCAATGCTAGACAATCACGTTTGGGATATTGTTCAGTTACCAGAAGGAAAGGAAACCATTGCTTGCAAATGGATATATAAAACCAAAAGGGATTCAAATGGTAATGTAGAACGATATAAAGCTCGTCTAGTGGCTAAAGGATATTCTCGGAAAGAGGGGATTGACTATAAAGAAACCTTCTCTCCAGTTTCATCGAAGGATTCTTTTAGGACAATCATGGCTCTTGTTGCACATTATTATTTGGAGCTTCATCAAATGGATGTCAAAACAGCATTTCTCAATGGAGACATTGATGAAATAATTTATATGAAGCAACCAGAAAACTTTGCCTTAGGTGATGCAAATAATATGGTTTGCAAATTAAGAAAATCCATCTATGGGCTAAAACAAGCTTCTCGTCAATGGTACCACAAATTTCATAAGGTCATTAACTCATATGGTTTTGAGGTTAATTTGGTTGAAGATTGTGTGTATCAAAAGTTCAGTGGGAGCAAATGTATTTTCCTGGTTTTATATGTCGATGACATACTATTGGCCACAAACGATATGAGTATGCTGGTTGAAACCAAAAGATTTCTTAAAGATAATTTTAAGATGAAAGATCTTGGTGAGGCATCTTTTGTATTAGGAATCGAGATTCATCGAGAGCGTTCTCGTGGAATTCTTCGATTATCACAAAAGAATTATATCGATAAAGTACTTAAAAGATTTGACATGCAGAATTGCAAACCAAGAGATACTCCAGTCGCAAAGGGAGACAAATTTTGTCTCAATCAATGCCCTAAAGGAAATCAGGAAATTCAGGAAATGCAAAAGATCCCTTATGCATCGGCATTAGGGAGTCTGATGTATGCTCAAGTATGTACGCGTCCGGATATTGCGTACATTGTTGGAGTGTTGGGCAGATACTTAAATAATCCAGGCATGGACCATTGGAAAGCGGTCAAAAGGGTTATGAGGTACTTGCAGAGAACTAAAGATTATATACTCACTTATCAGAGATCAGATAATATGGAGATCATTGGGTATTCTGACTCTGATTATGCCGGATGCCAAGATAGTCGAAAGTCTACCTTAGGTTATGTTTTTCTGTTGGCTGGTGGAGCTATTTCTTGGCGTAGTGCTAAACAATCATTCGCAGCTCCCTCTACCATGGCAGCAGAATTAGTAGCAGTATACGAGGCATCAATTCAGGGAATCTGGTTGAAAAATTTTGTCACAGGGCTGCGAATTGTGGAAGGAATAGAAAAACCATTAATGTTATACTGTGACTATAAGGCAGCTGTTTTATTTTCCAACAACAGTAGGAGTTCGGTAAAGTCTAAGCATGTAGACATAAAATACCGAGTTGTTAAGGAAAAGGTACAAAGTGGAGAGATTTTCATAGAACATTTAGGGACAAACTCCATGATAGCTGATCCTCTTACAAAAGGTATTGTGCCAAGGGTTTTTCATGAGCATAATGAGAGTATGGGCGTTTTAGTGTTTGAGGATCATTCGGTTTAATGGGAGTTTGTCATTAAGATTTGATTTCTATGTTGTTGTGTTTGTATTATGTAAATTATTCTGATCAGAAATAAAGTTAGTTGAAGTAAGGTCTTTGACTTACACTTTGGACAATAAAGATAAGTTATCTCACTAAAGAAGGACCAGTTGAAAATCGATATGTATTGACCATATTTCATGTGCTTTTCATGCCACACTTTCATAATTTATCTATGTCATTTGGCTGTATTGATTTTAGTGATTATGGAAGGTTTCGTTATGTTTGATTTAACGAAAGCCGCTATGATCCTATGTTGGTATAATCAATGGACGAGATTGTATTATGCTCTTGGAATTAATGGCATATTGAGCTCATAAAGTGTATCACATTTTCTGGTACATATATGATCAGTGGGAGATTGTTAGATAATTTATTGGGGTCACATATGTTAAAGTATTAATGTGATAGGGTCATTAATAATTAGCCTATTTTGTAATGGTCAATTATGATACAGTAAAAGGCTATGAGCATAAGTATTATGAAAATATTAATGTGTGGATACACTTAGTAATTCCTAATTTAATGACGGGCTGAATTAGGAATTATCTCTAATAATAGAGGGTTATGGTCCGCAAAGCAACCCGAACAGAAAATACAGTATATATTCTATATCCCATCAATAGAATGATTAAGCGATTAAGCGGGTAAGCTTTTGGTAATAAAATCCTCTCTCTAGAATTCTCTCCCTTCTCTCTTCCATCCATCGAGAACATAGAAATCAAATCAAAAGCAAATGGATTTAGGTATGTTGTTTATTTCTTCTCTTTATCCAAACAAAATAATTAATATAATCAAAAGGTTTTATTGTGTTTATGTTTTCACACAATTATAACAGTTTTTAGTTATGAACGACCGACCACAACAAATGAAAAAGCAAACACTCGTTACGTTTCAATTATTCATCAATTAAACTTTTACAGCGCCATTTATATTAATTGTTTTTCTTTTAAGGATTTGAGACTTTGGACTGATTAAAATTCCAAGCCTACAAAATGATTAAACATCAAAGGTTTCTTCTTCTTAACCTTAATAACTACAGCCACTATTTTTTTTTTTTTAACCTCGTTCTTCTTCAAAAACATCAAATCTGAAGCCGTCTAAGGTTCTTAAAACAGCGACGGCAGGTGGTAGACACTGGGAGACGGTGACGACAATGATGTTGGGTGTGCCGATAGATTTCGGTTAATTTTGGTAATGTCTAAAAAAATCTAAATAACCGATAATGAAACCAAACTTGTTTTCGGTTATTTTCGGCAGAATTTTCACAATCTTAATAACCAAAAACCGGAATTAACCGGCTCGGTTTGGTTTGGTTTGGTTAAACCGAAGTCCCAGGCCTAAGATCATGAATCAAATTGTGATGGATATGAATAGCTTATACAATATGTTATGTCTTTTGATAAGTCACAAACCATAAGACACAGTAGTAATATGTTATGCCGGATAAGTCACAAACCATAAGATATGAAATGCCTTAAAGTGTTCTTCTTCCTCTTATTCTTCTTCTTTAGAAGTCTTGTCTTGTCTTGTTCAAGTCCTCTGTTTCTTGCATTCTCGCTACAATGTTTTATCATCCATCAAAGTCAGTAAATAAAGATCATATATTATTCTATTTCGTAATTGGAGTCTCAATTGTTTCCAGAGAAAACAGACTTATTTGGGTTGAATGAAACACTTGCAATAAGGAAGAAAAAATTATTCTGAAAATTAGAAAGCTAAACTTGCCTCTGATTGCTTCTTCGAGGCCTCACTACTTGCCTCTGATTGCTTCTCCGAGGCCTCATTCCTAGGTGTGTCATCATCTTCATCTTCTTCTTCATCTTTAGTCGCCTCATTCCTAGGTGTGTGTTTGAGATGCACGAGGAAATTTTCAAAGCCATGGCCAGTAGAAAAGCATACTTCACAAGACCAACCGGGGTCCTCATCAAGGTCTCCTGAATCCACTCCACCTGTGGAATAAACAAATTAGTTGAGAAACAACAACAGCTTAATTAACTGGCTGGACTGTGAGAGAAGGAAGACAAACACCTGCCGATAGAAACCTTTCCCAGACGATTGGCGACACCTCATCCGATTGTAATTCCCGAATAACCGGAACTCGTTTCATCGCTAGCATGTCAAGATATGAAACGAAGCTCCTCTCACTAGATATGAGCATTAAATTATCCCTAGGAGGTTTACTTAGCGAACAGGTGATCTTCATTTCAACGCCAAAACAATCTGTTTCACAAACAGAAGGATTGAGACTCTATGCAAAAGGAAAATACAGCCACTTGAATCTAAAACCAATCCAGTAATTTACAAGGACATAAGGATTAACTTACGGGTTCGGACGTTACAAAGAGAGACTCCGGAGGAATAGAGCGCTTGTAGGACCTCGGTAGAGACGTCTGTTAGTATGCCAATGCCAGTGATGAAGACGTCACCAGAGTAGCCTAATTTCCTCAACGCCTGTGTTCAGGTCCCAAAAGACCTGTGTTGCAGCATTCTTCGTCGTCCCCATCAATCTAAACTTCAAACCTAAAGATTCAAAATTAGGCAAAACAAAACGCAGTTAGGTCTTTGAATCTAGAACCGATTTTATAGATATACCCGCGGCGGTTGGTTTATGTGGGCCGATACGTTTGGCCCATTGGGGAGGTACAAGGTCAAACTTGACTAATCCGATTTTTTTAATTTGTAAAATACCCGGTTTTATGTTTATTATTTTGACAAATACTTTAATTTTTTTTTCTTTTAAAACCTTTTTTAATATATAAAATATTAAATACCTTCACTAAAATTTAATACTAATTAAAAAAAATTATATTTTAAATATAAATAGCCTCTTATAGCATCTAATCAAGTTTTTTGGATACAAATAAACACCCAAAACCTAAACTTTCACAAATAACACTTTTTTTTTTTATCAACCACACATTAGTTAAAAGCCAACTCCATGATTAGTTACCCAATCTAAAGAACAAGAGTTTACAAAGACGACTTCAAAAAATAATAATCTAGAGTATCGAGATAAACGAGAAATAGCAAAGATCAAAAAGGAGGAAATAAAACACGGAGCAATCCAAACCCATCTAGTAGATTAGAGAAAGCAGACCATTCTTCAGGAGATTGCAACATCGAGACTAGCTCTGTGTAATCTATTTCAAATGCCTAACAGTCAATCCTTCTCGAATGGATATTCTTCATAGCCCCAATTAAATCTTCCATCTCCGAGTGAATGGGGAGAGACACCTATCAACCACATCTAAGGGATTGAGTCGACTGATCCAAAAAATCCCTATTAACGCTCCACTCAATCGGCTCTAATTGAGCTGCATCCCACATTAATTGCTCACTCAAAGCGAAATTTAAAATATCTAAGCAAAAATTTTATATTTATAATTTTGACAAATACTTTAATTTTTTTCTTTTAAAACTTTTTTTAATATAAAAAATATTAAATACCTTCACTAAAATTTAATAATAATAAAAAAATTATATTTTAAATATAGATCTATAACTAACTAGTATGTGTTATAAATCATATGGATGAACTCCATAACCGGCCCAATGCCCATTAGATTTTATCTCCTTCTATGTGTTTCCGTGTAAACTCATATGTATACTCTCTTATGTGTTAATAAGATTACACAGTTTATAACACGTTATCAGCACGAGTTTGCTCTAGAGAAATAAAACCACCTTCAAAAAGCTCTAACCCTAAAAATCGCTAAAACCCTAAAAACCGCACATCATCAGATCCGATCGCGGTACTGCTCATCGCGGTACTGTTCATCATCGACACTGTTCATCGTCGACACTGTTCATCGTGGTACTGTTCATCGCGGTACTGTTTGCGGTTCATTGCAGCAGCGTGAGTTACCGAGGTCTTTAGCTCCCGGTCCCAATCAATTCAGAATTCAAACAGTGGTTAAAAGGTAAACATAAATCCCTAAATATCTATAACCCTAATCGTGATTTTGATCTTATGATTATCTAAGATTTTAAAATTGATTTTGTTTATTGTTAAAGATAACCCTAAATCGCGATGATATCTCCTAAATCCTAAATTGATTTTTGCTTGATTGTGTGAAACCCTATAATCCAAAATTCGAGAGATTGAATGCTCTTTAAAGCATGAAATCGAATTGAGGTTTAGGGATTTATTCATAGAAACCCTAATCGCGATCCTATATCGCGAAAGCCAAACCGCAAGTTGCAGTTTAATTCTAAACCTAACCGAACTTATGTTCGGTCTAAACCCTAGGTTAAACCGAAAGTAAACCGAAACCTTAAATCCTAGGTTAAAGCGGTTTAATAAACCCTAAGTCACGGTTTAAGATCAAGTGTCCCATAAATAGAAAGTTCCATATAAGGAAAGTTTCCAGAAATAGAAGTTTCGTAAAATAGCAAGTTTCCCAAAATAAAAGGTTCCCTAAAATAGCAAGTTTCCCAAAATGGAAAGTTACCAAAATAGGAAACCCCTTCATAAGGAAATATTCCAAAACCCTAAAGTACATGTTTGTTTAGGATTTCTTTCTAGATGAGAAATAGAAAGTTTCCATAAATGGAAAGTTCCATATAAAGAAAGTTTCCATAAATAGAAAGTTCCATACATAAAACCGAAACCCTAGCAAAAACCCTAGTACTATAAATCGCGGATGCTAAAACCCTAAAACTTAACCGCGAAATCCTAATATCCTAATCTAGTATGATCCGATTGTTTGGTTGTTTTTTTTGTTGCATACTAGATCAATCTTCTAGGGTTGATTTCATCCATATATATATAACATGATTGTTTAGAAAACACTTGCTGAAGACAAGCATGGCTCGGTCTTAAATACCGTATGACTTGGTCTAACCGATTACATGAGTTCTCATTTAACTCGATATATTGTAGATGTCAGAAATCAACTATTATGAATACACGACACTCAATGCCTCTGGTGACAATTATTTACAATGGACTTTGGACATTGAGATTGTCCTAAAGGAAAAAAGGCTTGGTGAATCTATTGTAGAAGGAAACAATGTCACCAGAAGAGAAAGATATAAGGCGATTACTAACATACGCCATCACCTCAATGAGAGTCTCAAAATCAGTACCTCACTATTAAGAATCCTCTGGACCTCTGGACCTCAGGACAGAGTTGAAAGAAAAAAAAATCAATATAACCACCAAAGAACGGTGCTATTACCCAAAAGCCCGATCGATCGAAAGAATCTCAGATTCCAGGAATTCAAATCCATGAATGAGTATAACTCAGCACTATTTAAAATAGTGTCAATACTGAGATTCCGTGGTGTGGAAGTTACTGAGAATGACTTGCTAGAGAAAGCATTCTCGACCTTTCACACAAACAATATATTGCCTCAGCAACAATATCGTGAAAAAGGTTTTTACCACATATGCAAGTCTAAACTCTTGTTTTGCTCAACTTGCTGAGCAAAACAATGAGTTATAAATAGTGAAATGAGACCTCCTGGTCCTACCCCATTATCAGAAGCCCATTGGGCTGAAGAGCCTAAAGAGCCTAAAGAGACTAAAGAGTCTAACCACGTCCAAAGAGATAAGTATCATGGCCACAGTCATGGTAAATGGAATGGACGTGGTAGAACTGGCAATTAATCAAGGCTACGCCCCGGGTCCCTTAGCAATTATAATTTATATGATCAAGGAAACCATTCATATGGTTAAGGCCGCCGACCCGACTTTGGTCGTAATCGAGGTAGAGGTCGCGGTATACCCAAACCACAACACTCAAATAAACTTGTTTGCCACTGATGAGGAATGGGGAAACCATTGGACTAAGACGTGCATGACACCTAAGCATCTCGTTGATCTCTATCAAGAGAGTTTGAAAAGAATCTAGAAGCTCATTTATTTCATCACGATGGTGAAGAAGATTTCGACCATGAGATAGATGACTATGAGACATCGGATTGCCTAAAAGAAGCTTAATTGTTTTCGGCATCTAAGTGTTCTTGATTTGTTTTCTTGACTTGTTTTGTTTTGTCTTGATGTTTTCTATGTTCTATGACTTTAAATTGATTGATTTATGAGTTATGAGAATTCAATAAACGAAATATCTAAAGACATGGTTCATTAGCCAAATTGCGGGTATAGCTAAATTTAGTGAAGGCTAAGGGCAGACCCATATTCCCAAGGGCACGCATCATCAGATGCTACATATTAACCCAGCTCAAAGGGCCTTGTTGAGTTTCAAAGAAATGTGTTTGAATGGTTTCCACATTGAAACTAAGGGGAAGGGAACAAAGGATTCCCATATATTACTAAGAGCACCCAAGACCATGAGAAGGTCTTAGAGACTATACCCGCGTCATAGACCTTTACTATGCCAAGGTCAATATGATAACGGCTAATACAGTAAACAAAAGGGTTTACTGAGAAATTCACTAATGGCATGACCGGCTTGGCCAGCCTGGTTCTAACATGATGCGTAAAGCTGATACTAAAATCAAAAGGGCACACCCCTTAAGGACCTCACGTGTATAGCATGTACACAAGGGAAACTCATACTAAGGCCATCACCAGTCAAAGCAACTAGAAACTTGGTGTTTGCTAGATTGCTGGCTCAGACCATAAGTCTGTGAGCCCACATACTTAAGACTATATGTCTAGATAATGCTGGTAAATTATGTCCCAAGCGTTTTATGGCTACAATATGTCCATGAGGGGGAGAGTAGTATACCCCGTGACACATGTCCATACTTGAACTCACAGTAGCTACTTCGGGACACACAATATTACATGCAACAAGAGCTTATACCCATCAGGCTATTCTAGTGAGCATAGATATTCACCATCCCAACTACTCACAGGTCAGGAGCCAGATATGTCTCATCTAAAGACATTTAGGTGTGTCACCTATTTACCCATAGCACCACCACAGAGAGCAAATGATGGGACCTCAAAAGGGGATGGGAATATACGTTAAAAATGATTCTCCCACCATCATTAAGTATCTCGAGCCAAAGGACAGATACAAGGATTGTCATCTCAATGAATCCGTTTTCCCAACACTAGGTAGAGAGACTAACAAGCTGGTCAAAGAACTTACATGGAAACAAACATCTTTCACATGGCAAGATCCTCGGACTCCATCAGAGATCCAAAAGACTATATATCTGCAAAAGCTAGCTAAAACAGTTGCCAAGATTCCTATAATGACCCAAAGAAAGTAACAAAATCGTACATACCAGCTCGTAATGCACCAGTACGTATTGTGTTCACAAGGAACACAATCAAGTTGCTACAGAGGCTACAACACGTAAGAAACGTGGTAGACCCAAAAGGTTCCGAAGACAAGAACCCTCAGAAATCAAAGAAAGGTGCAAGGGAAACCGAGAAGGTTCAAGAATCCATAGACATGGCCGGCTAATAGACATAACCCTAAGGTACCAATCAATGAGGTTTGGGACGCCAAACCTCAAGGTCCTGAAAGTGTAAAGAGATCTCTATAAACTATATCATGTCTAGAATACAATGGAACCGAAAAGATGTCGACATCAATGATAATATATTTGCGCACAAGTTAGCAACTGAA